TTGTTACAAAAATAAAGTATTTAAAAAAAAAAAAAAAAAGGGGGGGATTTCCCCCCCCCCCCCCCCCCGCTCCGTGTGGCATCTCCTCTGATCCTGGTACTGGGTCCCATCCTGCTCCCATGGCAGTGCCAGGCTTCCAGGAACAGGAACATGCCCTTGACCTTGGATCCATGTGAGAGCTGGTCACGGGAATGGATCCTGGCCCTGGCCCAGCTGGGGTGACCTTGGGATAAGGGATCTCTTTCCTCCCTCTCCTGCCATTCTCCTCCTCCACCTTCCAGCCTCAACACCAGCCTGGTACTGGGTCTCCTCCCACCTTGATCCACCCAAATGTCCCCTCTGGAACTGGCCAGAGGGGTTGATCCCCCTTTATTTGGGGTTACCGTGGACATTCCCACCCTTTTTCCAGCCTCCCAGTGATCCCAAGGCACTCCTAAATCGCCCTGGGTGGTAGCAGGAAACGCCCTCCCACACCCCAGCATCCTGATCCCAGCTTCCCAAAGCTTCCCAAAAACCCCACTGAGATGGGGCAATCCTGGTCCTGTCCCTCCTTCAGGGCATCCCAGGTCTCCAGGTGTCCAGCCGGATCCAAGCCCTCACCCACAGTAGGATCAACATCTCCTGGAATGCCCCAGCTCCCACCCCATCCCTCCCCCACCATGCCCATCCCATCCCTCACCACGTATCCCTGGAGGGTTCTGGGGTGGTCCTGGATGTGCTGGAAGTTGCTTGGGATGCAGTGACTCCATCCGGAAGGCAGCGGGATGGTGACTCCATGGGATCAACTCCTGGATGGATCAGATCCCGGATGGATCTACCACCACCTGTCCAGCATGGAGCCCATCCTGGAAGTAAAGCATCCAGGTTGGGATGAAGGGCAGGATCCTGGGCAGGATCCAGGAAGGTCGGGATCCAGGCCCCATCCCAGCTCCCCACTCCCAGCTTCCCTGGGAAGTAAGCATCCCGAAGGATTTGGAGCTGATCCATAGGGATGGGTGACACATTTGTGGGGTCCCCTCCCGCTGTGCCCTGCGGGTATCTCCTCCCACCCACCTCATCCCTGAAAAAAGGGACGGAGCTCCAGCAGCCTGGAAGACCCCAAATCCCCCCGCGCCATCCCAAATCTCCACCGGATCCGCTCTCCCCGGGGTGGGACCCCCAGGTCTGGGATGTTCCCAAGCCCCGGGGGGGGCTCTGGGGGCTCCGTTGCCCCGTTTCCTCCCTGCCGGCAGCAGGATGGGGCCACCCCGGCACACCTCGTGATGCCAGCCCGGCTTCCTCCCCTCTGCCTCCATCCCGGAACCACCGGGGCAGCGAGACCTCCCTGCCCCGAGAGAGGGACCTCCAGACTCCCCCCCCGGATCCCGAAATCCCACGGGCTTGCCCCGCCGAAGGGATGGGGGGGCTGTGCCTGCTCGTGGTGGCTCTCTGCGCCGCGGCACCCGGACCAGGTACGTCGCCATCCACAGCCCGTCGCTTCCCAGCCTCTTATTCGGGAACTCGGGGTGCCAGATCCACGGATTTTGGGGTTGGGGACCTGCCACCTTCCCGGGATGGAGGTCCCAGGGCAGATGCTCTGGTGGTGGCTCCGCAGCTCCTCCGACCCTCGCTGTCCACTGGGAGGGAGGGAAGGGGTTCCCTGAAAGGCAGTCCTAAGGACTGGGGTCTCCTCAGGATGAGGGACCCCTAAAACCACCCTGGGGACCCCAAAACTGGGATCCTAAGCCCCTAAAAGTGCTCTCGGAGCCATCCCACCCACCAGCCCTGTGGGATGCTCCGGGGCCAAATCCCATCCTGTCCCTCCTGTCACCCCTGGATGGTTTGGGGGTGTGATCCAGCCTTTCCCCACCCCCCCAATCCCAGCAGGATTTGGGGTGCTTTGGGTCCTGAAATGGCTGCCAGGAGCTGCCTCAAGGCCTCGGATCGATCGGGGAACAGGCCCCTCACCCCCATTTCCGCTCCTCCTCTCACCTCCACCCCCACAGAGCAGCTCATTCCCACTTTTCCCCCTTGTCCCCGAGCTTTTCCTTGGTCGTTTGGACTCCGATCCATGCCCCACCAGCTCCCAGGGATCCCCACCCAACCAGCCCCCCCTGAACAGGGAGAGACCCCTCGCTCCTGGGGGATCCTTCACCCCACAAAAGCCAAAGGGGTAATTTTCCCGGGAATAACGGGAGCGTGCACTCCCCTGTGGCTCCGGGATAGGTACAGCCCCTCTGTGTCCACAGGGATGAGCCGGGAAGCAGGAGCAGGCCGGATGCATGAGGACGTCCCAAATTTCAGCTCTTCCACTGGTGAGTTGTGTCCCAATATTCCCAATAATTAAGGAAAAAATTCTCCGAGCGGACCTCACGCCAGGATTTAGCCCCAGGAAACCTCGTGGGGACGGATTTTTGGGATGCAGGAGCGCCGTGACCACGTGGGCTGGGGGTGGGTCCCACAGAGCCACCCACAACTGGGAGAATTCCCATATTTTGGGGGGATTGGGATGCACCGCTCCGTGTGCCCCCCCCCGGGTGGTCACAGGGCCACATCTTCCTGTTTTCCATCCGCTCCTTGCCAGGAAAACCAGGAATGAGCCACAAAAGGAGGGACTGACCTCTTGAATCCTGCTGATCTCGCTCCGTGGGGATCTGCATCTGTGGGATCAGATTCCACATCCGTCGTCCCCATGTGCCGCCATGTCACCTCAGAGGGATCATCATCCCCAAATTGGGAATCCTGGGGGGCTCATTTCCTCACCCCCCTGTCCCTTTCTTCCCACAGCTCCCGCAGAGCCGACAGGATCTCCCAGTATTCCAAGTGGGAACGCCTCGGTGACGCCGTGTGAGTGCCGGGAGGGCGAGGAACATCCTTAGGAGCACCCCCTTGCTCCCACTTTTTAGTGGGAAGGGGGCACTGGGAACATCACCGGGTCACCATTCCCGGTGTGCCTCCCAGATCCCGGAGCGCTCCGCTTGGCCGGCGGCCGGAGCCGGTGCGAGGGCCGCGTGGAGCTGGAGAAACTGGGAACCTGGGGGACGGTGTGCGACGACGGGTGGGACATTCCCGACGCCGACGTCGTGTGCCGGCAGCTCCGGTGCGGCCGCGCCGTGAGCGTCCGCGGGAATTCTGCCTTCGGCCGCGGGCACGGCCCCATCCTCCGGGATGAGCTGGGATGCCGCGGGCACGAGAGGAACCTCTGGGAATGCCCGGCCGCTCCGGAGCACGACTGCAGCCACAAGGAGGACGCCGGCGTGGTTTGCTCAGGTGGGTTTGGGAGCATCCCGGCTCCAGCGGGGAGGAGGGCGGGAGGCACATCCCCGTCCTTTCCCGCAGAGCACCAGGAGTGGCGGCTCTCCGGGGGCCGGGACGGCTGCGCCGGCAGGCTGGAGGTGTTTTTCCGCGGCACCTGGAGCACGGTGTGCGACAGCACCTGGTACGGGCCGGAATCGGCGGTGCTGTGCCGCAGCCTGGGATGTGGGACGCCGCTCCAGAGCCTCTCCTTCGGACACACGCTTCCCGGGAGGATGCTGTACGAGTGCGGGAGCCTCCAGGCTTCCCTGGCGTTCTGCAGCTGGACCTTCAACAGATCCGCTCCCTGCCACCAGTCCCGGGCGGTCGGGGTGGTCTGCAATGGTATGGGATCATCCCGCTGGGATCTGGGAGGGAATTCCTGCCCTCCCCCCGGTATCCCCGTGGTCTGATTTCTGTCCCCGCTCCCCTCTCCAGGCTCCCAGGGTTTGCTGGATCCAACCCCCACGGCCACAGGGACAACAGGGAATGTCACCGTCCCGCGGGGTGAGTGTCCTGCAATCCCTTCCTTCCCATTCCCTGGAGGAAGGATTTAGGTGGGAATGACTTGTGTCCATTCTCTGTCCCAGCCGAGGAAGGGTCTCCAGCTGTAGGGACACAATTCCCGTGGGATAGTCTCCTCTTTATCCTGTGCCTGGTGCTGGGAATGCTGCTCCTGCTCTCCGTGCTGGCCCTTTCCATCGCTCTGCTGAGGCTGAGGAAGAGGAGCGGTGAGGAATTCTGGACTGGGCATGGAATTGGGGCACACATCCCACTTTTTGAGCTCAGCTCAGCTTTTCATGCCCATTGTCCTCGCAGCCATGTGTTCCTTGGGAATAACCACCCCAGTCCTGGTGACCCACAGCTCCCAGAGCCCTGACGTGCCCTCCGGGATTCCCAATGACTACAGGGAGATTCCCACCAACCTTCCCAAAGGATCAGGTGGGTCTGGTAGGAATGTGGGGAGTGAGGAAGGGGATCCCAGCTGATGGCACATCCCCCATCCCATTCTCACCCCTCAGACCCGCTGGGCACAGCCTTTTCCAAGGATTCCACCTCCGATTCTGACTCGGAATACTACGAGTTCAGCAGCAAGCCGCCCGTTGCCCTCTCCACCTTCTACAGTGAGCGCCCCATTCCCTCTGGAATTCCCCTCACCTCGCCCTAGGAACCCCTGTCACCCTGCCTGGGATCTCCATCCCCACGCTCCAGGATTCCCGTTCCCTTTTCCTGGGATCCCTGTCACTCCCACCGCTCTCCCTTTCCCAGACTCGCTGCGCCGCCATCCCGGGGAGCAGCTGCTCCCACCGAGGCCCAGACAGGACGGGATGGAGCCATTCCCTGAGGATGGTACGGGACAAGGGGGGCATATCCCATGGATAAGGGGGCGGCTCCTCCCTGTTCCTACACTGGATGTCCTTGTTCCCGCAGCACCAGCCAGGATGGGCCCCCCATTCCCTGGAAGGAAGAACAGCTCCTCCAGCTCCTCCTCCTCTTCCTCCTCATCTACGAATCCCTGTTGGAATGGCAACGTCCCCTCCCAGCACAGCTGGGGCACCGGTGGGCCCTGCCAGAGGGATGTGTGGGAGCAGGGATGGGGAGAGCCCTGGGAATGGGAGCAGGGGTGGGGAGAGCCCTGGGAATGGGAGCAGGGGTGGGGAGAACCCTGGGAATGGGAGCAGGGGTGGGGAGAGCCCTGGGAATGGGAACAGCGATGGAGAAACCCCGGGGGTGGGAATAAGGAAAGGAGAGATCCCAAAGGTGGGAATAAGGGATGAGGACAGCCCTGGGGAGGGGAATGAGGGTGGGGGTACCCCAGGAATGGGACCAGGGATGGAGAGACCCAGGGATGTGAGCAGGGATGGGTCCGACCCCAGGAAGGGAACGAGAGTGGGGGATCCCCGGGAATGGGAACGGGGATGGAGAGTCCCAGTAAGCACCTGTTTCTCCCAGTTCCCCCAGCAGCTCCCAGCATTCCCACCCCAGTGCCCTCCCAGCCCTGGGTACCTCCGTGTCCAGCAGATCCCGATCCCACCGGCAGCTCCAGCACCTCCTCAGGGGAGTGGTACGAGAACGTTCCGGGCACGGAGCCCACCGGAGACACTTCCCAACATCCCAGTGAGGATCTCGTGCTGGTGGGGGGATACGGGGACTCAGGGATCCTCTGCTCCCAAACCCTGATGGGCTGTGTCCCTCCAGGTCGGATGGATCCCTCGGGACAGGATCCCGACTTCTCCGAGGGCAGTGACTATGACGACATCCAGGGAACTGCCTACTGAGCCTTTCCCGCTGCTCCAGAGGGACACCTGGCCAAGGCCACCATCCTGCTGCTGGAATCACCTCTGGAATTCTCTGGCCATTCCCCTGTGCTGCCATTAAAAGCTTTTCCCACCGTGTTCCTTGTCCTTCTGTAGGAGTGACCCGTCACCATTCCCACAGTGGGGCTGGGCCACCAAGCGCTCCCAGTTGCCCACTGGGATGTCCAGATATCCCATTCCCAGCCGGCAGGAGCAGGGGTGGGGGTGGCAGGGGCCCCACCCAGCTCTGGGAGTGGAAATTACACCCCAGGAATTGGGGATGCGGGAGGGTTTGGTGCCCCACACTGTCCCCCTCACTCCCAGAGGTTCCCTGTATCCCACTGGGACACAGTCCCCATCCCAGAGGGGCCCATAAATCCTGTCCAGGGGATGCTGGGAGGGAAGACAGCCCAAAACCCAAAGAACGACGCTCTCTGGGGACATCGGGGGTCCCAAAAGAGGGATCACCTCCTCCAGCCTCCCGAGCTCCACCCGCATCCCAGCGGGATGCCGGAGCCGAGCACACCAGGCTCCCGCTGGATTTGGAGGGGCACAGCACCCACCCATCACCCCAGAGCTGCCACCCCCGCCCCGGGGGACTCCCCCGCACCCCAAACCCCCCTTCCCACGGCCCAGCCCAGCCCCCCGGAGCGTCTCCAGCCCCGGCTTTCCGGCTGCCCCGAGGGGCAGGTCGGGGTTCATCCGCACCCCCCGCGGAAAAAGCGGCCCCCCCGCACCCCTCAGGTGTTCGCGGGGCGAGAGGCCCCGACAAAGGAGCCGCGACAACGGAGGAAATCCCAAAATAGCAGCAAAACCCCGACAAAGGGAGCGGGGCAGGCGGGGGCTGAGAGCGGGGCGGGCACGGGGAGGGGGGGACAGGGGCGTGGTGCCCCCGATCCCTGTGCCACCGGGGGGGGGGGACGGGCAGGACGGCACCCAGGACGTCGGGATGGCCGGGATCGTGGGGTGGTATCCATGACCTCAGGGGGGTTTGGTGCCCGGGGGTCCCAAAGCCCTGGGGGTCACGGATTCCCTGGGAGCGGGACAACCCAGCCCGTGGCCCCACAGGGAATGTGCCCCCTCCACCCCCACAGCGGTGCCGACCCTTTATCCGAGCCGTTCCCGCCTGGAAAACCCCCATCTTTCCCCTTTTTCATTCTGATCCCAGCAGGTGCTGCCGGCAGACGAGCTCGTCCCTGCTCACTCCAGAGGCAGTTCCTGCTTTTTAAAAGGCTCCTCACGGCCGGCAACATGTCAGCACATCCCAAAATCCCCCCGGGGAGAGATCCTGAGCATCCCGAGCTGTCACAGGATGCTGAGCTGACTCCCGCCACCAGCGGCAAGATGGATGCTCAATCCAATCCCAAATCCTGCCTGTGAGATTCCAGGGCCTCCAGAGCCAGCCAAGGCTCCCAGGGAAGGGCTGGATCCCAGGCATCCCATATCCATAGAGGTCACACACCCCTGGATAATGTGGATCTTTCCTAGAGGTGAAGTATCCCAGGATGTGTGTGAGGGACTCACCAATTTCAGGTGGATTTGGGGGGATTTGGGGCCTGGATCCTGCACAAAGACCCCCCGGCTGAGTCCTGTGGGAGCAGATCTGGGAATTACACCCTTTTTCTGGGCAATTTTCAAATCTGAACTGGGTGGGGGCCAGCTCCAGGTAGAACATCCCGACAGGGCTTGCTCCTGCCACAGTCCCAGTCTGGGGGGTCAGGAGGACCCCTGGGATAACTGGGGTGGGGATAGGAACAAGCAGGGAGTTCAGGGAGCACCCAGGAAAGTCCCAGGGGAGCTGAGATCCTGCTCCAGGGTGGGGGATTGGAGTGGGAAGGGAAGGGAAGGGAAGGGAAGGGAAGGGAAGGGAAGGGAAGGGAAGGGAAGGGAAGGGAAGGGAAGGGAATTTCCATGCTCCCATTCCCGCTCCCCAGGCACTCTCCTTCCAGCAGGAACACCACGGGATCAATGGAAAACAGCCACCTCATTAACATGCATGACCTGGATTTGGAAGAATTAATTAGGGCCCAATCAATTAACGCCTCTGCCTCGCCCTGGTCCAGCCCTGCCAGTGCCCCACATGCCCTTGCCGGGATAGGGGGCATCCCTGGAATGCCAGAAACTGGGATGTGCCTGGATAAACCTTTCCCTCGTCCCCTTCCCGGGGGGTTCCACAGTGTTTCGGGTGGGCACTGGCTCCTCCTCAGCCCCGAAGGGTCGTGACCCCAAACATTCCCTCGGCACTGGATATACCCAGAGATGTGGGAATCCTGGGATTTGGGGAGGGGGCTGAGCTCCCCCCCCGGGGTTTCTCCCCCCTTTTTTTGGCGGGACCTGGCGAGGCAGCCGAGCCTCGAAACCGGCACGACCGTGACGTCAGGAAACCACAGAGGGAGGAAAAACAGCCGGTTCCTGCCCGGGCCCCCCTCCCTCGCCCGCTCCAGGCCCGGGCAGTGGAGCCTCCGGAGCCTCCGGAGCACCCCGTGCCCCCCATCCCGCCGCTGGCACCCATGGAACCCCGGCTGCCCCCCCTGTGCCTCCTGCTCCTCCTGGGAATGTGGGGTGAGTGCTGGGGGTGCCCCAGGCTGGGGGCATCGCTCACATCCCGCGCTGGGACGTCCCGGTTTTCCCGCCCCAGGAATGTTCTGGGAGGGAATGGGCCCTGGGAGTTCGTGATGCTGCCCCAGGCGAGGCCCAGCTGGGGGGGCTCGGGGTGGGGAGGGGGTTTGAGGGGGACAAAACCCCGCCAGCACAACTCCAGGGTGCTCATCCCACCCCAAACGTGAGCCCAGGGGTGCTCCCCATCCTCATTCCCGCCCGGCTCCTGCCATTCCCAGCTTTCCCTTGGTCCACATGGCACCCGCCCCAGCTGCTTGGCCTGATGTTCCGCCCAGGAGCGCAGCAAATTAAGGGTAATTAGCAGGTCCCTTGGCTTTTTCCGGCCCTAATTAACCCCCAGCAGACGGACGGACAGGCGGCAAACCCCTTTTCTCCCCCCCGAAATCCCGTTTCCCCCCCTTCCAAAATCCCATTCCTCCCACAAAACCACCGAGCGCCGGAGCCTCTGCCCCAAAATGGCGGCTCCGGGATTGACGCCCCATCCCCGTCTTCCTTCCAGCCATTCCCGACCATGGAGGAGCCACCCGGACACCTCGAGGTGAGAATGGGGGGGATAAACACCTCGGGAATCCCACCAGGCTCCGGGACCGTGGTGGATGCTCCAGTTGCATCATCCCAGCTCAGCCCCGTGACCTTCTCTTCATCCCCCCCCTTCCAGCCCTTGTCCCACCTTGTGAGACATCCCGAAAAAGGGCTTTTCCATCATTCCCTGGAATGTAGAAAACCTACCGGGAAGGGAAGGGAAGCCCCATAATTCCGGTGTTTTCCCGCAGATCCCGGCCTGCAGCTCGTCGGTGGCGGATGCCACTGTACCGGGATACTGGAGGTGGACTGGGAAAGCCGTTGGAGACGCGTGTGCCGGGATAACGTGAGACGGTCCAACCTGGGTGAAATCTGCCGACGGATGGGCTGCGGCCCCCCCAGCCCCGAGCCCTTCCAGCTCCTCATTCCCAGCGGGAAGAAGCCTATTGCACAGCCTGTGAGGTGCCGGAATCCGGAGGGAGCGCTGGTGGAATGCCACTGGGAGCTGGGAAACTGCACGGAGCACGTTATTGTCTCCTGCAAAGGTGAGCCTGGACCCCTCACCCCGCTCACCTCAATCCCTAGGGATCATCCAGGCTGATGGGGCTCCTTCTCTTCTCGTTCCAGAGCCGGAGAAAACCACTCCCAAGCTCCCACCGGCACCTCCGGACACCACCCTGGAGCCCACCGGTAAGACCCCGATCCCGAGGGATCCAACACCCCCACCCAGCCCGGGGGATCTAAGCACCTCATTCCGAGGGATCTAAGGTCCCCAATCCCAAGGGATCTAAGCACCCTATCCAGAAGGACCTAAGGTCCCCATCCCAAGGGATCTAAGCACCCCATTCCGAGGGATCTAAGGTCCCCATCCCAAGGGATCTAAGCACCCCATCCTGGGGGATCTAAGACTTCCATCCCAAAGGATCCAAGACCTCCATCCTGGGGGATCTAAGCACCCCATCCCAGGGAATGTGAGACCCCCTTTCCAAATGATCCAAGGCCCCCATCCATCCATGCGGCGATTAAACTCCAAATTTAGGGACTTTCTCCTCAGGAATGGAAAGGAATGTCATCCCAACCCCCGGAATGTCGTCCCAATCCCCAACACGCTGCTCTTCCCCCCAATCCCTCTCCAGGACCGCCCAGGCTGCGGCTGGTGGACGGGAATTTCAGCTGCTCCGGATTCCTGGAGCTGCACAAGGGGGGGCTGTGGGGGGCCGTGGCCAGGATGCCCCCGCACATCTGGGCACATCTGGGCACCCGCGTCTGCCGGGACCTGCGCTGCGGCACCGCCGGGCACGGACACCGGGAGCCGGAGCCCGGGATCCACCTGCCGGTGAGGTGGGAAGCGCTGGAGCCCTGCGAGAGCCATTCCCTCCTGGAATGCTTCAACAGGACCAGCTCCCGGGGGAAAACTCCTGCCTTCGTCACCTGCTCAGGTGAGAGCGCACACGGAGCATCCAGGCCTTTCTGGGGGGGGATATCCCGGGGGAATTCCGGGTTCCTGCCCAGAGCTCCATCCGCCCACTCCCGCTCTTCCTCTCCGGGGTGCGAAGGCAAAACAGGAAATCTCAGTTCCCGGCAGTGCCGGACGAGGATGAGCCGGGGAGGGAGAGGGGCCACGGCAGTGTCCCAAATTCCAAATGGGAGCAGGGAACCCATGGATCAGCCCCTCTGGGTGGTATTCCATACCTCGGGCATCCCCAAGCCGTGGGCATCTCCCAGACCTGGGCCCCTCCCTGCCCTTTTCCATGGAGATCCAAGGCACGGGGCTCAGAGCAATCCTACCATCTGCCCCAGCTCGGAAGCCATCCCGTGGGATTTGGGGGTTTATTGGGCTGTGCCACAGCAGCTGGCAGAGCTTCCATGCTGCATT